AGTAGATTCCAGGCATTTCTTGAGGCACCTCTGGGGGATTCAAGTCACCAAACTTTTGGTTAGTAGCTGAGTGTTTGTGCCCTCCAGGGACTCCTGACCTTACCTGTATTGTTGTTAACTTGCTGTTGGGTTGATTCTCATAGTGCCTCCCTGTGTGCAGAGTAGGACTGCTCTATAGGATTTTCAAGGCTGTGACCTTCTGGAAATAGATTGCCAGGCATCTTCTGAGGTGACTCTCTCTTGGTGGGTTCAAACTGCTACTAGTTGAGTGCTTAACTGTACCACTCAGACACTTCCACTTTGCCTACACAAAAAACCAAAACGAAATGAAACCAAAACAAAAACTCCACTGACAACAAGTTGATCCTGACTCATAGTGACCCTGTAGGATAGGGTAAACTTTTCCATAGGATTTCCAAGGCTATCTTTATGGAAGATTTACATCTTTCTCCCACAGAGTGGCTGATAGGTTTGAGCCACTTTGGTCAGCTGCCAATGCTTTAATCACTGTGCCCCAGAGCTCCTTACCTTGCCTATGTTGTTGTTGTTGTTGTTGTTTGCCGTCGAGTCGACCCCGACTCATAGCGACCCCTCCTTGGGTTTCCGAGGCAGTATCACTACGGAAGTAGGATTGCCCAACCTTCCTTCCGAGGAGTGGCTGGTGGGTTTGAACTGCCAGCCTTCTGGTGAGCAGTCAAGTGCTTTAGGCACTATGCTACCAGAGCTATAGGATATACCAAATCATGATTAGAAACCCACTGCATGGTCCCTTATTAGTCTCCAATCCAATTGTGAGGCTGGAAAACCTGGGCACAGCTGGCCTTACTTTCTGCCTTAGTGATGAATGCCCACGTTCCGCCTCCAGGGCAACTTATTAGAAGGCCTGGCAAAGCACCAGATAATTAGCAAAGGAGGCCCACTTCCTCAGATGCCAATTTTACAGTACATTTCCCTTCTTTGGGAGGTCTGCTCCTTTCAGTCCTTTCGGATTTCTGGACTCATTTATCCTCAGTGTTCATTTTAGAAGCCGCAGTTGCAACCAACCGAGGGAATTTGGTATTTGCCCTACCAGCTTCTGAAATTGTGACTGATCCCACTCCTTTCACTGATTGAAAGACCTCGAGACTGGAAGGGGAACATAACTGAATAGTAACAAGTCTAGTAAGGTTGAGAAAATGAACCTGACAATAGGGGTGTGAAGATCCTTCCCCCTACCCATTTGAAGAGGGTGAGGGACCACTGCTGCCAGTGGCCTTCAAATTTTAGCATGTATCATGTTCTGGAGGGTGTGTTGTAACAGTGACTACTCAGCTCCACTCCCATGGTTTCTAATTCCATAGGTCTGTGGTAGGGCTTGAGAATTTTCATTTCTAACACATTTCAAGTGATGCTACTGCTGCTAGCTCCATTCAAACACTGCTTCCTACTACCATATTCTGGGAAAGAGAGAGCAATTTTGCCAGCTCAGGCTCTTTAAGAGATCAAGGGGAATAGATTTCACTTTTCTCTTGTTATTGCCCATTCCCAGCCAGTGCACCCATCTGAATAGAGATAGAAAGAACCTGTCTTCTAGATCCTCTAGATCTCAGACAGGACTCATCTTGCCATTGATGGAAATAGACCAGGTTTGGTTGCAGGAGTGCTAGAAAGAGAGGTATATTATTCTAGGTCATCAACTCGTTACCTTTTTGAAGGCATGTTGTTGTTAACTGCCCTCCAGTCACCTCTGACTCATAACCTCATGCACAACAAGATCACACCATTGTGACCCATAGGGTTTTCAATGGCTGGTTTTTCTGAAGTAGACTGCCAGGCTTTTCTTCCTAGTCTATTTTAGTCTGGCAGCTCCACTGAAACCTGCTTAGCATCATTGCAACACACAGACCTCCACATGAGGTGCCCTGCATGTCTCCAGCACGGAAGGCAAGAATTCTACCACTGAATCACTACTGCCCACTGTGTTCAAAGGCATAGCAGTTTTCTTCCACAATTAGAGCAAAGCCTTAAAATGTAAAAGCCCTGGGAAAAGTCAACACTTTGGGCTACATTGTTCTATATAAAGGATTATTTGCAGTGATACTTTGATGGGGTGGGAGGAAGACACTTGGGCTCTGAATAGAGCAGACATACCAAAGGGGAGGAGACAGGTTCCTGAAGATGAACTTCCCTGTTACACATTTTGCCCAGAAAGAAAACACAGAAATCAAACCAACCCACTGCCATCCAGTCAGATCTGACTCATAGCGACCCCTCCTTGGGTTTTCAAGGCAGTATCACTATGGAAGTAGATTGCCCAACCTTCCTTCTGAGGACTGACTGGTGGGTTTGAACCGCCATCCTTCTGGTTAGCAGTCAAATTCCTTAGGCACTATACCACCAGAGCTCCCAGAAAATAAAGACACTTTGTATTTAAAGGGGGAGAGAAAGCATGTGAAAGAGGGAGTTGAGAGGAAGATGAGAGTTTGAGGTTGATTCCCAATGGGAAAAAAATCACTCAAATCTATTCACCCATCTGGTGGCTGTTGCTTTATTTTTTGTCCAAGGGGAGGTGATGTTGGACCGAGGTAGAGAACGGTACACCAGAAACGACCCAAAGTGTTGCCTCTTCTGCAGAAAGCCCTTAGACTCCATAAGGCCTTTCAGTCGGGTATTATTATGACTGCACCTGTGCTTTGGGGGCTTCACTTTTTATCTTTGTAATTACTAATACAGATAAAAGGCTGGAGGATAACAACTTATGGTGACTGAGAGGCGTCATTTAATGCCTCTGGTCCAGAAAAACCCCATGTAGTGCTTTTCTGATAGTAAGGAATGTCACCTTCCCCAAATCTTTAAACAAGACTGGTGAGAAGCTGGATTTTTCAGCATGTCAGATCTTTTAAAAACATATAGTATGTAAGCAATACCCTTCCAGTCATTGAAGACCAAACCCTATCTTAGCCCTTATAATATTTAATGATCCTTGCCCTGTAATTCTTGACCCAAATATACAATGACCATATTAAGTCAGAGGGACTCCTTTTCTTTGGCCCCAGTTCAGCAATTCTACAGATGGGCTCTGAACCTGCTAAACGTATATGAAAACTGAGTGAATTACTTGAGAAAAATGTGCATTTTTCTCAAAAGTGGTTTCTGTGGTTATCAGATTTTTAAGAGGGTATATGCTCCAAAACAGTTTTCTAAACCACTGCTTATATACAGCTGACATGTATTAAAGGCTGAGGCAAAGTACAAGAGTAAAGGAAATGGCACAGTCCACTTTCACCACTGGAACTCAGTACCTGACTATTTCCTGGGGCATCTCAATGCTGATCCTAAAAATACTCCCATCTCTGAGGACCTAGGGCAAGGATTGTCATGTTGCTGGTCGTTTTGCTTTATTCTTAAGAATAAAAGCAAAGGAAGAACATCCTAGGCAAAGACAGGAGGATGCTCTGAGCAGCTTATAGGAGGTGGAGGCAGGGCTGCTCAAGTCATAGCCACACTAAGAAGCCCTGTCAGCAAAATGACCCTATTTTCAGTTCCACATGAGTTCAGGACTCTGAGGAACTGTAATTTACTCAGTTTTTCTTATGCAAATGGGATAGTCTTTAAAAAAGATGGTTGCAACTCACTTCCTCTATCTCTGGTTAATTCCACCAATGGTGGTTGAGGTATCAGTGTCTTAGGTAAAAACCAGAATCTAAGCATTAAAGAGAAAACATCCCACTTTCATCCTCTTTGTTCCTCTCCCTTCCTAACCCCAAACTTCTCTTACATATAAGGTAAGTTTTAAATTATAAAATTGGTATTGACACACCATCAATAAAGAGAAACAATGACCCACTTGTCAACTAACAGATGCAAGAATACTTAAGTGAATCTTGGAGTTAAAAGTCTTAGTGTGGACACCTTCTCAGAACTGGGAGAAAAAAACAACTGGAAAGCTTATTACTCTGCATCAACTGAAAAGCTCAGCCACATCCATTTCCCCTAAAGTTGTTTCTGGGAGAGTAAGATCTTCAAGAAAAATTCTGCCCCTTTGACTAGATAATTGAAGTCAAACAAGAGTCATGACAACAACTTGCAAGCGCTGTGATCCCTGCCCTAACTGCCCAGCACGTACACAAAACACAACAGCCCACTCAGCACAAAGCTTGCTTGAAATCAACAAAAAACAGCTTACTGCACTGAGGATCTCCTTTTCCTCCCTGCTCAAAACAATCTGTGGTCCAGAGATTCAGACCAGACATATGTACCCACGGTTAATGTCTTGATCACAATGATGGTGGGTAAAGCTTTATATTTCAATTTCCACAACTTAACCCATCACTTAGTCCTTTCCACAAGGGCTCCCTTAGTCAGTTACTTCCTATCTTGAAACAAAACAAACAGAAAACCCCATACAGCCCAACTACCCTTATCCCCACAACACAGCCCCCAGAAAACCTAGCTTGCACAGTTTGCACTTAGCATGCTCTCTTCAAAAACCCTGCACACAGATTATACATAGACACATAAAGATAGTCAAGAGGAGGTGGTTCTGTTCAAGGGATAGTTTGTTTTTCTTCTGTGTGGGCCTGGTTACTTGATGGTATATAAAGTTCATCTCTTAGCACTGTTAGGTGATTTCTCAGCTGAATATGTAAATGTGCAGGATGAAGTAGGAATAAGGGGGTGGAGAAGTTATTGTTTTTCAGCAGGTGGTAGTATAAGGTGTGGACGTCTGTATGGATGATGGGGTAAAGGTGACAGACCCACACAGCCATGAGATCTGGCCCCCAGCTTTCTTCTGGATAAACAAAGGGGGCTCTGGGCATCTGATCATTATTTCTTTCCTCTTCTGTATCTTTATTACTCTCTAACTCAGTGTTCACCAGTTACTAGTTCTGTGGGATGTGAAATAGAAGAGGTTCTGAGGTCAAAAATATTAGGAAACACTACATTAAGAGAGGATCAACAGTTTGCTTCACAGTAAGTTTTCAGACCTTTAGTATGCTAATGTGCATACTGTGCTAATGTATGTGTGAGAAAAAAATACATAATAGTTATAGCACACAACAGTGATACTCGGGAGTATTTAACAACTGGTATGGCACGGGCTCCAATCAAAATGGACCTCACCACAAACTGCTGGTACCACTGTACCCCTGTAAATGGGGTCAGGCTAAATATTAGCCCATGTAGTATGCACTGTTTCCCAAGTTTTTTGTCCAAAGAACCCTATTTTTGTGTGGTGTGTGTGGTGTCTCACAGAACTGGTAAGAAATGCTCTGCCCAATGCTGGGACCTCATTTTTCTAGAGATGGGGCTGGGGCTCGTGATTCTGGTCATTGGGGTACAGGAGAGAGGCAGCCCTGGCAGAGACTCCTGATAGCACCAGCTGATAGGTTTGACCACAGCTGCAAAGAAACAGATTTCAAAAGACAGATGTCCCTCTGTCCCAGCTGCTCCGGGGGCTTTGTCCCTGGTGGGTCAGCAGATGCCTGTCCAGGTGATGTTTGCGGCCAAAACTCTTCTCACAGCGAGGGCACTGGAAAGGCTTCTCCCCAGTATGGGTCAGCCAGTGTCTCACCAGGTGGTGCCTTCGGCCAAAGCTCTTCCCACACTCAGTGCATACATGGCACTTTGGCACTGGTGGAGTGTGCTGGTGTTTCCTAGCATCGAGGCTATCCCCAGCCTCTTGAGGCATGCAAGATCTGCCTTCCGCATGCACTCTCTGGTGGCTGGCCAGATGGGAGTTGCATCGGAAATTCTTGCCACACTCAGAGCACCTGCTGGGCTTGTCATGTAGGTGAGTTTTCTGGTGGCGAATCAGGTGATGTCTTCGCCCAAAGCTCTTCTCACACTTAAGGCAGCTGTAGGGCCTTTCCCCAGTGTGGGTTTGCTGGTGCCTGGTAAGGTGAGAGCCCCACACAAATTGTTTCCCACACTGAGGGCATGTGTGGGGTCTTAAAAGGGAATCCATCTCTGTGTTACACAGAAGGTTGGAGAAACTATCTTCCTGAAGAAAAGGTGGGCCCAGGAGCATTCCTCTGGAGCTCCTGGGCACGGGACCCCAGCTCTCATTCTGCTCTGGATTCCAGAGAACAGTATCTTCGGACACACTGGATAACATTCTGGGGGGTTCTGCTTCTAGTTCGGGGGTATCTCCCTCGTGCTCACTTCCATCTCCTGTGAAGAAACAAAAATGCCAACCCTAAGAGGGGAGTCACAAGAGAGTACTCCAGGGTCCAAGTCACAGATGAGCCTGTATGATGTGTGCCAGGGCCAAGCCTCACCCTAGGAGGGCTGAAAGGATGGATTCGAATGTACAAGACAGTGGAACTGGGGTAGAGGTTAAAAGCCTCAGTTGAGGAGACAGTATTACACCAGTTTGAATCTCAGCTCTCCCACTTCTCTAAGCCTCCATTTCTTCTTTTGTAAAAGAAGAATAATAATTCTTCTCTCTCAAGGTTGTTAATAGATAGCATAGTACTTGTTGCATAACATGTACTTAGTAAATTGTATATACTATTGTTATTTATTACTATAAATTACCTGAGTGACATTGCAGAAGAAATTCCCACCATGAGTGAGTGATTGAACAACCACTACCACCACTAACATTTACTGAGAGCTTATTTTGTGCCTTGCACTATTCTATTGTTCTAGTACAGTACTTAATTCCCATGATAATTATGAAGAAACAAAGAGAGGTTAATTACTTTCTCAAGGTCCTACAGCTATGGTCCAGGATTCATATCCAGCAAGTCTGGCACCAGACCCTACCCTTTTAAACCATTCTACTATACTCATGTTTTTGAAGAAAAAGCTCTCTAAACCTTTCAACTCTGTGACACTGAAGCTGCCCAGGGATCACAGGGATATACAATGATGACACCCTGAGAGGGGCGAAGACAGTGGCTGGACTTTATTCTAGATCCTCACCTGTATATGTGACCCTCAGGATGTCCCTGTCTTCCAAGTCCTGGGGGTCAGGGACCCATTGTTCTTCCCCATTGTCTAGTTGAGAAAGCATGTCCAGTTTGGGAATTGGAAATCCTGCCCATGGGAAAGGAAAACAGATGTGAATTAGTTCAGAAGTAATTTTATATTTCTGAAAAAAGCTGTTTCCTAGATTATTCCTTGGAACTCTAGGTAAGAGAGGACCAGATATAGGGCTTTTATTTTTCTTCTCCCCTCCTCCTCCAACCTTCGCCCCTGGTTAAGTCCCTCCTTTATCTGTGAGAAAATCACACTTCCCTCCCCAATGAGTCTCTTCTATTCAAGTATTTCCAGCCCCTTTCCTTTCTGGTCATAACTTCACTTAATTGGCTCTGCTGTAGCTATCATTTCCACCCAGTACTTCCAACACCCCCTAGAGGGTTCCTGAGTTTCCAAGGACCCAGTTCCATCTCTCACACGTCCCTTTCTCTGCTTTGTAAGAACCTCCCAATTCCCAACCAAGATTAGCCTAAAGTTCTTTCTCTACAATTCAGAATTATTTTGTACTTCTTTTTGTTTGTTTGTTTTTTAAAAGATGCCTCACTTCCACTCTTTTTGGACTAGCCCCAATAATCATTCTCTGATGTTAGCCTAGATTTCCTGCCAAGGAAGGAACCCTAGACAGACACAATCCAACAGCCCTGGAGCGATGGCTCCATCCTCCCAGAGTATAATCTTTTAGTGGCTGGGGAAGGTCATGCTTACTCAGAGAGACCACTATCCCACAGTTTTCCTGCATGACATATTCTCCATAAAAGTCTGTCTGAGAGGGGTCCAGGCTCCGCCACTCCTCCTGTGAGAAGCACAGCGACACATCCTTAATGGTTACCAGGCCCTGAAACAAAATGTGGCATCTTCTGTCAGCAGCTGTTCCCTAATGAAAATGTGACCTCAGCATAAAAGATGAGGCAGTAGAGGAGTGACGGCAGGAGAGGGTCTAAGAAACAAACTAATTACCCAGACGTCCCTGGGTGGGGCACATAGTTTTGGTAAAGGGGAAATGAAGGGTAGAAATAGATCATCAAGGAGTGAGTGAAAGTGATGTATCTAGAGGAGTTCCTATGGAGGCCCACGAGCAGTCAGAGGCACACTAACTCAGCTTCCTCTGTTTACCTACAAGTGTTTGCCCACTCTCTTCTCACTTGCCTTTCTCTTTTCATTGCAGAAATTCTGTACCATCATCTCCTCCTTCCTCTATGTGACCCTTCCTTTTCTATCAGCATAAAATGATATAAATATTCTTTCTTGCCTCCCCTGCCATGTTATATCCTTATCTTTGATGTAGCATATGATGATGTAGAAGAATCAAGATTCTGGAGCCAAATAACTCCTAGATCTGCCACTTACAAGCAGTGTGACCTTATACAGGGCCTTAATCTCTCCCTGCCTCAATTTTCTTATCTGTAAAATGGGGAAAATCAAGTTGCTCTGAGGATTCAGTAAGTTAGCATATATAAAGCGCTCAGAACAGCACACATGGCAAGTACTCTGGGAGTATAGCTATTATCATCTTCCCACGGCTCTCCTACTGCCTTCTGAATTGAAAGCCATTTTCTCTGTAGCTCTGCCCCTCTTTGTATCTTTATTTTCTTCTCTTCTGTAACTGTTCCATCATCCACCCAATACTGTCCACTCAATATTCTTCCAAGCTACCTTTAGGTTCCCTTTTCCTAATCTTTCTAGATTCATTTCTTAAAGGAATTAATAGTTCTGAAAATCCCCTTGTGGATAGCACAGCCATCTCTTAAAAATTCTCCAAGGAATTCCCCTCTTTTGGTGATGCCTCTATTCTTTTTTCCAAGGGTATTTTTCCCCAGGTAGGGATAAAATTGGCTCAGTTGTCAGATGAGCACAGCACTAGTGATCATATGATATAACAAATAAATGGGACGATTCTACAGGTATAGAAAGGCAGCAGTGATGAGGCCTTGGGAGTGGCCAAGAGACGCACAGCCCACCTGTGATCCAGCCGCAAGCAATGCAGCTGCCATCTCCCAGTCTCCGGTGTTCCCCTCCTGGGGAATGGTAGGGACCCAAGGAACTGACTGAGCTGGTGAGAGAGGGGGGGGGGGAGCCATTTAGAGAACCATCCACTTTCTCAGTGAGAGCTAGGGGCCTATTTCAGAAGGGTTTAAAGGTCCTCTCTTCTCCTGTATCTGTGTCTGTTGGTGAAGAGGCCTCAAAATGTCCTGTAAAGGTATGGGGTAGCTTTTGTTAGAGATTTTATGTCATCCACTTCTACTAGCCTAGTTTTGACTTAAGTTTATATTATTTGAATGTGTTTTTCATCTAGTAAAGTGCATCTTACTGGATGTGTTCTCCAGCAGTAATCAGTGTTGCTGTTGCTTCCTTGTCCTCCACATTTCCCACTCACTAATCTGTGTTCTTTCCTTATATGGAGGCAGTGATTATGTTTGGAGTGGAGAGAAGCCCGGGCACATGGTTTAGAGAATCCTGGAGCTCCTTCCATTCCTGTAACCAGGGGCAGGAAGAACTGACTGGTCCTGGATGTGGTTATATTGTTTGGTCTATGGCAATTTTGGGGTTTTTAATTCTACCTTTTGAACAGAGATCAAGAAACTACTCTGCATTGTGCTTCCCATAAGACCCTATGGGCTCTCACCCTTTTCCCGAAGGGATTGTGGCTCCTCTTCAAGGTCACAGCACAGATGTTCCAGTGGCCTTGGTGCTGTTCTCCATGGCCCCTCTTCCTGGCTTCTCCTTCCCACCTGGGGCTCTGCTCCATCGAAATGGACATTCATTGACTCCCATCCGGCCCCCAGGGCTGCTGTTTGTTCTGAAAGCATTTTGTCTGCAAACCCAAACTGTGACCTGGAACAAAGTCATATCAGCTGTGCCCATGAAAATGGAAAGGGACAATATTCCTAAGGGAGTTATAGAGAACAGCCCCAGGGGTAAAAGATGAAACTAGACAGGAGGATCTTGATGAAAGATGAACTATAGAAGCTTGATGTGTTCTAATCAACTGAGCCTGACACCAAGCTTCTTGGAGGAACTATGAAATTGGCAGGTGCTACATAGCAAAGTCACAAACTTATTTTGGGTACCTCATGACAGAAACAGAGTATCCCTGAAGGCTGGAAGAAGTTCATTGGAAGAAAGGAAAGAAAGAAGGAAGGAAGGGAGGGAGGAAGGAAGGAAAAAAAAGAAGAAAGAAAACCACTCTGGAAATTAAAGAAAAGCTATCCATTTAATTTCAACTACTGAAATTACAAGAAAGTTACCAATGTGGAAACATGCAGGAAGGAACGCATACAGATCTGCACTAAATGAAGATAAATAGAATCGTAAGATTTTCTGTCACAAATCACATTCTCATCAATTAGGTTAGAATGAAACTATTACCATAGGCAAAAATTCCAGGCAAAGGGTTATATGTGTAATGAGCATGTTATCTTTCTTTTGAGGCTGCATCAAATGGTGCCTCACATAGGACAAGCCTTAACAAACAAAATATCACTTGTCCCTGATGTAGAAAATGAGAACTGGTAGTATACATGGTAGAAAGACCAACATCTTGCAAAGTGGGTATAATACTCCAAAGCAACCCTAAAGGACAAGATAAATAGTTGGTCAGCGAGGAGCTGATGATTAGTAGAGGAAAGCAATAAAGAACAAAAAGGGTTTGAATGACAGGTGGAAAAAGCAGCAGCAGTGGGGCTAACATGCCCTGGGGTGAATTAAGGACCCTATGATTTGAGACACAGGAATGCACCTGTTTGACAGGCATGAGTTAGAGCTCATTAGAAAACTATATTCAATTTTAAAGAAGGGTATGGAGAAGTGTGTGTTCAGAGGAAGAAACAGAAATGAAGAATGGGATGGGATATAGGGCCATTGGGGAATTATTAAAAATGATGGACATTAACTTTCTCTTGGCTAGAGAAGGTTGATAAATGATGCTGCTGATGCATAAAAAGAGGTGTTTTCTATCTTTATATGGATCAAACAGAAGAAATGGGCTTTGACTGCAAGAGATTTAAAAGCTTAAAAAATTTCTTAACAGTAATTATGCAGTATACAGGAACAGGTTGTGATCTCCTTTTTCCCTGGACATCTAAGAACAGGGTAGGTACTACTTGTGTTGTGATAGGGGCCTCCCTACCTTATGGCAGAGAAATGTCTGAGAATGCACAGGATCCCTTCTTGCCTGGCAACATCATACTTCTGTAATTCTTATTCGATACCCAAGCAGTCAGAGCCAGTGAAAGACTTACAAGAACAGATCAGAACCTTGGTGACCATTCTGGCCTACTCGTGAACAGACATCCAACCAGTAATATTTGCAAGAACCATGACAAATGTCAAGATCGTTTATCTTCTTATTTGTCTCCGACAAAAGAAGAGGTGGGAATCCTAAGCCCACACACAGGAAGAACAGATTCCCCTTTCATCTCAGAACGTCAGAAACATATCAGGATCTCATGGGAGCATCTTGGACTGATTCCTAGTTGAGGAGAAGTCTCCTTTTCAGATACTTCTTATGCGAAAGGAAAACTGATAAGGGGATATTTCCATTTTAGCTCTCTTTAGCCTCTCTCTAAGGGGCTTTACTGAGTTCCATTCCCTGTATTCTCTTCATTTTTACCACATAGAACACTGATTACTCTTCTTCTTGTAAGGTCTTCTTCCCTAGCTTCCTTGGCAAAACCTCTTCTAGGGCTTACCTCTTGCTAAATATCTGGACACCAGTCTCAAACCCATTTCTCCATCTCCACCAAAAGCAGAGTCCCTTGATGATAAGCATCTTGGAATCCACAGAGCTGGCTACAAGCCTCTGTTGACTGCTGACAGACAACCCGTAGAAGTGCTGGCAAAATCTCAGCAAAGGAAGCAGTGGGTTCCTATCCTCACATTTCCATTTCCTAAGATGTTCACTGTGTCAGAGCCAGCATCTAGGCAGTTAACGCGGCAGCCCTAACCTAGTTTCTCCAGGTTCCAGATGATCCCATTCCTAGAGGTCTGAGCTCTAGGGCTGCCATCACCCCCTTTTCCTCACATATCTGTGTGGCAAAGCACCTGCAGAAAGAAGCTTTTTTAACGAGTGCTGATGGACAGAGAAGGGCCAAGTCATCTAAATGAGTAGCTCAAGGGCACGGGGAGGAGTTGGCTCTGTCAGAGATCGCTGGCCCGCGGCTGGGGCGTGGGCGCGGCAGCGCTCGCTCCAGGGTAATGTTGCTTCTCCCCGCTTCTTGTCACAGTGCCCCTGGAGAGGGTCAGATTTCAAGAATCCGAGTGGAGCAAACTGGAACAGGGTAAGTGAGGTCAGAAAACAGGTTTCCAGTGAACTGGGGCAAGAACAAGTTGGGTAACGTGTGCGAGAGTGACAGCAGCAGGAACCTGCGGGGCCTGACAGCGCCGATGGGGACCAGGAAACAGGGCGAGAGGCAGGGATAGAATATTAGCGGGACCAACCCACGGAAAAGGGCAGTGACCCGGAGGCCGCACCGATCCTCCCGCCCCCATGGTGACCTGGCCTCCACCCGCCGCCCCAGGAAGCCAGGCGTCCCTCCCTCCACCCGCGGCTCCTTCTGGCCCAGCCCCACTCACCCCTGTTCGGCTTGGCCTGCGGCCCGGTGCCTCCCTCCCGAGCGCCGCCTGCCCCTCCCCTCCGCCCTTCGTTAGCGTTTGGGAGCCGACAGCCCGTGGAGCTGGCGACGGGCGGAGACGGCGGCCGGTAGGGCGCGGGCGGGGCGGGCACAGGAAATCCCCGCCCGCTTCCGGGGCTCAGTGGTGGCCGCGGTGGCGGTGTTGGGGGTGGGAGGAGGAAAGGAAAAGGGAGGGTACGGGAGGACGAGTCCTGCCTCCCAAACCCCGGAGACAGCCGAACGCAGCCCGAACCTGCCGAGCCCCCGATCCCTGGCATCCGTTGCCCCCGGGCCCCGCAGGCTGCAGCGAGGCGGCGTGGTCTGCCCACACCGACTGAGGTGAATCGCGGCCCGCTACAGCTGCTCTCACCCTGGCTGACCATTTTCGGTCCCAGCCACTTGATCGCCCACAGGTGTTTATTAGTTACCCCAACATTTAATACTGCCCATAATACGCCAGACAATCATTGTGAGGCTGTAGTCGCGACGAAACAGCGTGGGATTCCTCAAGGAGCTTACTCTCTAGTATGGAGATGAAAAGCAACAAACCATGATACAAGACTTTGAGATAGCGAGGATAAAGATCCCGAGAGAGCTTTGAGAAGAATTGCTTAATTCCAAGTAACTAATATAGTCAGGATAGATAGTTAAGAGCTCCTGAGCTCTTGAAATGTAGCTAGTCTGAACTGTGAATTGCTTTAAGTGTAAAATGCACACTAGATTTAGAAGACTTAATTAAAAAATGTAAAATAGCTCATTAGCAGTATTTGGATGTATTGGGTTAAATAAAGCATGAAAATTAATTTCACCTGCTTTTTACTTTGTTGACGTGGCTACTAAACACTTTTAATTTACGTATGTGGCTTGCATTATGTTTTTGTTGGACAGTGATACCTTGAAGCATTAAGATGAATTTGACTGGAAAACATGAGTCGGGTCTGACAATAATGTATACACATTAACATCAGAATCTGTTTTTAATCTGTAAATCATTTTCACATTCATTATTTCATCATCACAACACTTAAGATAAATTTTTTTTTTTTTTTGATGAAGGAAAGGCAAAAACTAAGTGGCTCACTTAAGGTTATAGGTCATCATTCCTTTAGTATGTATGTTTTGAGGTTCAGCTTTGTGCCTGACACTGTTGTTTTAGGGATCACTGCCAAATCCTTCTCCATTCTCAAAATTGTTGCTATGTTTGTACCCATTGTTGGAAACGTTCTGTTAATCCATCTCATTGAGGGTCTTCCTCTTTTTTTCCCCTCTTTTAGCTAACTGTAAAAATGGCTTGGTGGAACCATGAGATCTCCTCTAACTTCACTAGGAAGGAGGAGGATCACGATCAACAGCCTGAGGCTGATTCTTATGGCGTGGAGGTCAAACATGCCTCCACCATTTTACCAATTCTGACATCAAGTGTCCTTCCCATGACATTTTATTCTTCTCTGCTGGATTTGAGAATTTGTTGCAGCGGCTACACAAAAATCACAGACAATACTCACAATTTGGGGTTTGTTAGGGAAGTGTTGTCATTGTTAGGTACTGTTGAGTTGGTTCTAACTCATAGCGACTTCATGTACATCATAACGAAACTGCCCAGTCCTGCACCATCGTAACAATTGCCACCATGCAGTCTATCCCCTCTGCACATTGTTGCAACTACTGTGTCAATCCATCTCATTAAGACTCTTTCCCTCTTTCCTTGATCCTCCACTTTACCAAGCATGATATCCGTTGAGGAAGTAACATATTACAATTCAGGATCAGGAAAGCTCAGGATACTGTTCTTTAATCAATTCAGCCTCCCCTCAGCTGTGTCTAAAGTCAGGTCTCTCTCTCTCTCTGGCCATTAGCCCCTTGGTTTGGCCTCTTCCCTGCTTGCTCAAGTATTATGAAGACCCTTTAGCTCTGTTGATAAATGTCCAGAGGCATCCCACTCCATTAGTAAGCCTCAGCCTGAAGATGCTCAGCTCATCATTCTTCTGGTATATATTTTTTGAGTTTCTGCTTTGTGCCAGACACTGTTGTGTCTATGCATTGGCAAACTTAGCTCTACCAAGTGCCCAGAGGTACCCTACTCTCCTAGCAAGCCTGCCTGAAGGCACTCAGCTTTTTTGCCAGGAAGCTCACCATGCCACCTCCTGTCAGTTTCCTGGTTCTGCTGCCCCGGCTGCCCCTGCTGCCCCATCTACCTCTGTTGCCTCTGCCTCCACTTCTCTGCCACCTCTTCTCACCATCTCTCCAGTGTTACAACTCTCTGTCTCCTGGATCTTAGGAGGTTCCCAGTGCAAGGACCCCACACCCAAAGGATGTACTTCTCTCCCATCTCCTTGCTGGCTAGTGATCAGGTCCCCTGCTTCTGCCTCAGGGATGGCTCATTTTAAGCCTAGTGGGATGGGCAAAATTGACTAATTCCCAGGTTAGGGTTCCTTGCACCTTATTTGCAATGGTCTCAGCTCTAAGAATGCCATGCACCTTATTTACATTATTAGCAATCTATCCACAAACACCTCACATTCGCAGAGTCCCACCCAGTTTTCTTTTAGGAGTCAGAAAAACCGTGCCTAAAAGGGCTATGCTAAGCAATTGACTGCACCACAGTGACCCTCAAATTTACAAAAGTAACATCCTGCAATGCAGTGAATTACTTAATATGGCCCTTCTAGCCATTTTTTTTGTGTGTGTGTGTAACTCCCACACAATGATTGTGTGGGATCATGCAAATAAGTTATATGGAGCCTGCGATGGTTGGGGTTATGTGTCAACTTAGTTAGGACATGATTCCCAGTCCTGTGTAATTATCCTCCATTTTGTGATGTGTTGTAAAACCTAGCCTCTATGTTTATGGTTATGGTCTGATTTGGGAATGAGCTGTGTGTAATGTTAATGAGGCAGGATTAGGGAGAGGGTATATAACTCAAGTCACCACTTTTGCCCCAGTCACCATCCTTACCACTCTTACTCATTTCCCTTCACCACCTTACTGCCTTACTGAGGTCATGCCCTTGCTTGAGTCATACCTTTTAACTTATAAGAGATAAAAGGAGAGAGAAGTTAACAAAGTTGGAGGACCTCACAATCATCAGGAAAGAAGACTCAGGAGCAGATTACATTCTTTAGACTTGGGATCCCTGGAATAAGAACCTCTTTGACTCTGGAGACACCTAGGAGATTGAAAGAGAGAACTGTAACACTGGAGAAGCAATGGTGGCAGCAGAAGCAAGAGTCTGGCAGGACATTGGCAACACATGGCAGGGTGGGCTTTCCAGGTCATGGAACAAAAAAGCTGAGTGCCTGTGGGCAGGAGGCTTGCTGGCAGAGTAGAGTGGCTCACGGTACACGGAGCTTGATTTTTTGACCCATGGAGCTAGAGCTGAGTGTTTTCAGGCTGAGATTGGTGGAATGGGTTGCCACTGGGTACTTTCTTGGCAAAGCTAGCAGAGTTTTATAACATTTGGCCAAGCAGGGCAGAGGCCAGGCCGAGGGACTGAGGGCCAGAGAGAGGCCTGCTTTTGGGCAAGAATGAGGTTGTCTTGACTGAAGAACTGTATTCTGAGCATTCCTCAACCTGAATTGTAACCTGTTACTTCCCTAATAAACCCCATAACTGTGAGTATGATCTGTGAGTTCTGTATGGCAATCACAACAAATGATCAATCCCAGAAGAGAGGTAGAGTGCCATGAGAGGGACAGTAGGGGTCAGAATTGGAAAAAGGTTGGAGGGTGGAGGCATGTCTGATCTCTGCCTCATAGGAATCAGCCTTGGGCTGTTGATCTTTATCCTTCTCCCTGCTTGTGAAGTTAGAGGAGGTCAGACATTTCTGTCATGGCGTTTTTACACATCTGAAATGTCCAACAGTAAAACTCAGACTCTGAAGAATTCTAATTGAAGAGGGATTTATCAAGAATACAAGCAACTCAAGTTGGGTAGGCAGCAAGTCTTACAGAGTAAGATTGGCTTCTCCACTGAGGCATGGAGCAACAGGAATTTATAAAGGCAAAAATCACAGGCACCTGGAATACAGACAAAGCTCTCTTAATTGGTAGGTGAGCAATCAGGAAACTGAAAGTGGGCTATGCCTGAAGTGGGGCTTCTTTCAGAGAGGTCCATTACAGTTATGTGGTCAGGCAAAGATTAGTTCAAATGGGGAAGCTGTTTTTTTTTTTTCCCCCTGAGAATCAGCTGACCACCAACTGTTTTTTGGCACAGCTTTTTCCCTGAAACATATGAAAAAAAATCTAACAGCACATGCTTAGAAATGAGTTAATATTAGGTCACTCTTAGAAATGGGTCAAGATACAGTCACTCTTGCTCCCTTGACATGAGTCCAGGCAAGGCCAAAAGTTTGTTTTGAATTACCCCTTTGTCATTCTCTTCTTTTAATCAAGAATTTTCTCAAAATTTTGATCATCACCTGAATGGACTTACCCTAGACATTATCCTTAAGAGGTAGCTGGACACCATTAGTCTACCAGTGCTATTACATCGCTCTATGTAGGGTCTTATCTTAAGGGTGAGCTGGTCTCATGTCACCTACAAAAGAGTAACCTATCTTCTGCAAGGGCTTTGGGTTGTCACATGGGTAGCTGTTTACTTTGAGGTTTTTTTTTTTTTTTAGGATTTTTGGATGCTATCAGATCGAAGACAGGGCTTGAATGACACCAGATAGATAACCAGGTACCACTGCAGGCATCTTCACCATGCTATTTTAAATCTTAAAGGGCTGACTTGGAGGAAGGGAAGATTTAAAAGGGGAAACAGTTGGCTTAGGCAAGGACTCAAGTTAGGGAACAAGTAATTCTACTGAGGTCTCAACAGTTTCTTCAAAGAACCTGACAACTAAAAGTTGTCTGTGAGTAGGGGTGAATGCTTGGGTTTGGAACTGGGTAATGCAATAAAAGAAATATTTAATTAGGAAAAAGAAAAGGTAACAAAAAGGAGTACAACTTGCTAAGTCTTTATAAGCTGCAGGATTTGATGGCATTTGGCAACCAATTGAAAATGTCAAACCAATCATTAGGGCTGCTAGTATCTTCTATAGGGAGC